TTACATAAGAAAACAGACTCTAACTGCTCCCCTGCTGCCATGTTTCTGGGTCCATGGAGAGCCCAGCAGGCTGGGTATTGTGACCTTGTGTATTGCACTACATTTACATAAAGGGTGGGGTGAATGGAAATGAAATGATCATTCAGAGTAATCCAGTCTGAGATCTATTCCTACAGTGTTTTATACCAACACTGAACAGGTCCTCTACTGGGGTACAACCTTGACAGAGAAGCATGGGTCAAGCTAAACAGACAGATTTGGATACAGCTGCTTTAAAACAACACTGTACAAGAAGACGATAAGCCCACTGTACATCTTGGAAAGCCCCCTGTGTGACTGCAGGGTCCACAAGCAACACAGCACTTAAACAAAAGCTGCAGCCTTTACAAATGCCCAGGTGGGGTAGATGGAATCCACACACTGAGCGATAATACCAGACAGTAGCTTATAGCTTGCCAGGGGGGTGGGGAAATGGCAGCTTGAGGGTGAGCTGGCCTGGCACTTGGGAAGAGGAATCAAGCTCTGGCCTAGGTTAGACAACCATCCCTTGACGGACAGTGATCAGGGGTGAAACAATGCATGGGATGTTGGCAGAATGCAACCTACTATGAGTTGCAATGGGATGTTGTACAGATATTTGTTATGGGGCTCTAGCCTACAGCAATAAATTCTGATACCATATCTACCCAGGGATATCTTAGAGTGGGATTTTTACAGCTTTTTATGGGCCCTGGCCATCTGTTTGGTTACAGCTGTAGAGTACTTTCTGCATGCGTACTGCACAATAGGTGTAACTTCTGTAGCTGGCCAGAGGCATTACAACCATTGATGTACTGAAAGAGAGGTATGTATTTTCCACTTTCAAGGAGGGGTTATAATGACCTATAAAATTGGCTTGCATAGCATCTCAAAGGGGTAACTACTTATGATAAATATCTTCTTTGAGTAGTAGATTTTTGTAGTATGCTTATCTACAATCCTCTATCATTACTCTTTTAAATACAGCTGATTGTTGTTAATTAATTCTCAAATGCATCTTTACTTAAATGACTGAAATAATAATAACTACAGACATTTCATTTTCCTCCTTTCTATAGCATAAATGTGATGTAGAGAAACTTTTTCCCACTGACCTAGCAATTATCCCCATGTTAATTTTATTTGGGCACTGTGCAATTTTTAGCTTTTCATTTCCAAAGTTTTGCCTTTTCCTTTGCACCTTTCACTCAGGCTGTAGCTGGTTGTTTCCAGACCTTCTCTGGCCTTCAAGGTTCTTTTTCTTTTTTTTTTTTTACTATCCCAGGTGTCAAAAGATGGGGAATGCAGTTAGAGAAGGGATAGGAACAAAAAGAGAAAGAGATCTATACTAAATATTCAAAAGAACTGGTATTTAGATGAGGAGCTTGCCTGCAGCTGGTAGGAGGAGAAGCTAAATGAAATTGGTTTTATAAGGAAGTGAGTGACATTTTTATATTTTAATTAAATGAGGATCACAGAAAAAAGAAAGTCAGTATGCAAGACCAGGGAGGACATAAGTAGAGAGATAGAGAGAAAATAAAACACCAGCTGGTATAAAAATATGAATCAAAAGGTGACTTTTTAGTTTCTTTATTATTAAATAGGGGATTATATCAAGATGAAGATGAGAATTTGTTGCTAACAGGAAACACAAGCAGGATGACTGAAATTATAATGAGTTTGAAATTATTTTTTTATCAGAGAATCTAACAACATAGAGTATTATATTGATCAACAAAGCTATTTGTAAAAGGCCATGGTAGTTGTTAATGTTTTTATTTATGTCTTGTATTTTATCAAAAGTACTTTGAGCCAGATTTCATTCTATTTACACAAGGTAAGTAGCACCTTACTCATTGAGTAGTTCCATTGATTTCAGGGAGACAATTTGCTACGTTAGGTCCTAGTCAGCATGACCTGGGCATAATCAAATGATCTTCAGGTATGTCTGTACTACAGATGTGCACCCTCAAGTATGCTGGGCTGATTTCTGTGGGTTACTTCTTAAACCAGAAGCAGTGTAGCCATTTTTGTTGGGTAGACATACCCTTAGTCCTTTTATGTAACAGCCTGGGCAGGGTCACACCTTGGAGACTATTTGGTTCAGAGAAGCATAAACTTTCATTGCCTATAAGAGTGTATACTTCTCTAAACAAGTTATCCTCTAAGGCCAAGTACAGATGTCCAAAAAGTGGGGGGAGGAACTGATCTAAATTACATGATTTTGTCTGAGTGACCTAGCTTTGACTGGAAGTAAACAGTATACACACCCCCTTTGCATAGAGTGGAGTTGGAGTGGGGGAGGGGGGAAAGAGGAAGAGGGTGCAAACAGGCTGCCTACCCTGGCAGATGCTTGCAGGCAGAGAGCACTCCTTCATGCCTGCCAGCATTCCCTGCAGGCTACCCAGGCTACCAGAGACTGCCAAGCACAGGCAAATGCCCAGGCCACCCATGACTGGCTGCTGGGCATGGGCAACTGTGCCCTCAACCCCCAGCCACCTCATCATGGACTTTCCCTTGTGCCCTGACCAGAGGCTTCCAGAAAAGCCTCAGAGTGAGTCCCTTCTCTTGTTAATTTCACATGCGTTTGTGCCCCAGCCTGTCTACATCCCACCATGGCACCCCACCATCTGAGCCCAAGCCTACAGACTCAGAAGCTGTGGAGTGTCCTGCTTGTCACCCTGGGCAACTTTCTCTGGAGGCTGCAGGACTTCATACCCAGTCATCTGGACATGGCGCAATAGTTTGTCACCATGGGACGTGGCTTCCTCCCCATGAGCCATCAGCCAGTGTCCTGGACTGGGCCATCAACTTCCACATGGAACGCCTTCATAGATATCATCTCCCAGGAGGCCTCCAACATTACACTCCAGGACATCAGCCTGTGGCTAGCCTTCACTGTGGAGAAGCAATTGGCCATCACCATCTTGAAGCTGGCCACCCCTGGGCAAGTCTACAGGTGGAGATGCTGTCCAGGATGTGGCTATGGTCTTCAAGAATGTCATAGAATATTAGAATCATAGAAAATGAGGATTTGAAGGGACCTCAGGAGGTCATCTAGTCCAACCCCCTGCTCAAAACAGGACCATTCCCAATTGGATCATTCATAGATTCATAGATTCATAGATTAAGGGTCGGAAGGGACCTAGTAGATCTTCTAGCCCGACCCCCCGCCAGGGCGGGAGAACAACAAAAAACCCCAAAAAGAGAAATGGGACTCAAACGAGTCCAGCCAGGTAGGCATCCAGCCTCTTCTTAAAGACCCGCCAGGGCTTTGTCAAGTCAGGCCTTAAAAACCTCCAAGGATGGAGATTCCACCACCTCTCTAGGTAACTTGTTCTAGTGCTTCCCCACCCTACTGGTAAGAAAGTTTTCCCTAATATCCAACCTTAACCTCTCTTGCTGCAACTCCTCCTCTCTTGCTCCCACCTCTTTAGAACCACCCTTCAGGTAGTTAAAGGTTGATATCAAGTCCCCTCTCAGCCTTGTCTTCTCCTATACCCAGTTCCCTCAGCCTCTCAGAAGTCAAGTAGCCCAGCCCTGAAACCATTTTCATTCCCTTTATCAACCACAGGAGCTACTTTACCATTGTTCTGCAAGATGTCATCAATGACTGGGGGCACTTCACCCACATCTTCACCAGGTAGGCAGGCAGTGCCTATGATGCCCATGTCTTCTGCAACTCTCCCATCCTACAGCTGATGGAGAATGGGCACTATGCTCCAGAAGTCCCCAGTTTTGTCATTGGCACTGTCCTCATCCCTTCTCTGATCATCAAGGATCCAGCTTACCCACTCCTGCCATGGCTCATGAAGCCCTTCAGGAAGCAGCTGGACCACTGAAAGGAGCACTTCAACTACTGCCTGAGCAGGTGCTGCATGACTGTGGGGGTGCTGCATGACTGTGGGGTGGCCTCTGGCCACCTCAAAGCACACTAGCAGGCTTGCAGCATGCACCTCAAGGTGTAGGAGAAGAACCTGCAGTTGTGTATCATCATCACCACATGCTTCCTTCACAATATCTATGAGACTGGGGTGGGGGGAAGGTTCAGAGAACCATAAAGCCTGGGCAGAGGAAGCAGTGTGCAGAACAAGCATAGCATGCTGTGCATGAGTGGTTCATGGAGGCTGGGGAGAGCAAGCTGCTCAGTGATGTCAGGACCACCGGTGGTCCCACACACTGGCAGGGAGTCCAAACCTGTGAAGCCTTGGCTGACTAACTCGTGGCTTAGGGGGATCAGAAGTGCCCCCTGGATGAGTAGGTCCAAAGGGCTTCAAATCCTTGAGTTCCCACACCCTGTCCCAGGCTCCTCTAGTTCTGCATCCCAAGCCATTCTGCCCACCATCCTGGCTTCCTGGACACTCTTCCTGCCCCCTGAACTCTCCCAAGGGTCACACACTGGAAGAGATGTGCCTCAGATTACAAAGTTGAAGTTGCCAAACTTTTCTTGTTTTCAGTAAAGAAAACCTGTTGAACTTTGCCTGGGACAGAACTAAGTCCCTCTTCCCATCAATGCAAGCCAGCAAACCTTTGGAGGACAGGTGGGAATTGGGGAGGTTTGTGCAATGGGCAAAATAACTGGAGGGATGGTTATTGTCAAGCCTCCATCTTGTCTCCCCTGTTGTGTAACTTACGCCTACCCCTCCTATGTAACTTGGTTTCTGAATGAATAAAGATAAATGCAGGTGCTTGAGAGACAATGGCAGTCGGTCTAAAAATAGCTCCTTCTGAATGATCGAACCATCAACACCAATACCTGGGCCAATGACCCAGCCACTGGAACCACACTCAGTATTCAAGAAACAAAAGATGAGGCAACCCACCATTGTGCCAAGGCTGCACATGGTCAGTATGAACATCTGGAACCCTCTGGAACAGGACTGACCTTGCCTGGACAGGCCCTCCCCATAGGAGATCATAGGTAGTCTGCCCCATAAAAAGGGTAGTGAAGACTGACTCTTTGGGAACGCCATTTCCATCTGGACCAGACCAGCTCCATGTCACACTGCCTATCCACCCCAGAGGCTCTGCTGGTGGCCCCCTCTGGACAATACCGAGCTGAAGGAGACCCCGACTGGCCATCGAGGACCCACTTTCAGCCTGGGATAGGTAGATATCACCTGCATATTTCCTCATCCAATTTGGACTCTCTCTCTCTCCTCCGGGACTTCATCCCCTGCACCAAGCCTCTTTAAACCCTGCTGCTATTGTCTCTGTGTGTGTGTGTGGGCAAAGGAACCAATAAAATATCATGTCACCATCTCCCCTGTTCAATAAAACCACTATCATTTGTAACCCTGAGTTGGGTTCTGTTTTACTGAGCCCTGGTCCCTTCCCTGTCTTAAATTTTGGTCTCTGTCTCTCTCTCGGCTCCAGCCCCCCATTTTCCTGATCTCTCAATTCTGTTTCCCCTTTCCTGCCACCTCTCAGATCCTCTCTGTCCCTTATCTGTTTCCCTTCTCCAGGCTCTCAGTCCTGTTGCTTTCTGCAGGCTCTCAGCTTTGCTCCCGCTGCTTTTTGCCTCCTCTCTTCTGCAGGCTCTCAGCCTTGTTGCTTTCTGCAGGATCTCAGCCCTGCTCCTGCTGCTTTTTGCCTCCTGCCACCTCTTCCCATCTCTCTCTGCCTTCTCTTTCACTCTCTCTCTCTGTTCTCCAGCATCCCCCCTCAGCCCCACTCCCAGTTTTCCTCTCCCCATGTACCTCTTGGCTCCCCTGTAGCCTCCTTGCTCCAGCTCCAGCCTCTGGGCTTCTCCCTGGCATTGGTCCTTTGATCTGTTGGCTTTCTGCTTTCAATCAACACCAATTAACCTTAAATTATCCCAACTCCCCTCCAGTCTGCTGGTTCTAATCCCAGCACTGGCAACTTTCATCTCAGTCTCCACCAGCAGTAACCTAAAGTAACCCCAAGCCTCAGCTCATCATCCCAGGTCTCTCTAATCCTGGTCCTGGCAACTTTCATCCCCTACACTTTCACTCTTTCCCAAGGTATCCCAAGTACACCAAGCACATACATACACACCACAACACCCAAGTTAGGAACTCACCTGTGTGTATGTGTAGGTGAGTGGTATGTATGTGTACTGATATACATGTATGCCACTGTGTGCATGATGTATGAATTAGTGCTCTGTGTATGTGCACTGGGTGTGCAGGTATTGGTAATTGATTCTGGTCTAATTTCTTTTGGTCTGTATACTGTGTGTA